AAGTCATGCAGAGCTCCTTTAACAGAAAGAAATACAGGTGTTCAGTGCATGACTCATCTGGCCTATTCAGAAAGGTGTGTTGCAATGAGTTGAATTACAACATGGAAGCACCTATTTCTTTCTGCTGGCTTCTACCTGGGAGACAAGCTTAAATGTATCACATACCTACAGTGTAGGCATCTGTATGCATTAGATAAAATCTGGTTCTTCAGTGCTAATCAGCTACCACTAGTGCCGCTAGCCAGCCAACAGATCTGCTCCTTTTCCCTCTATCTGGCACTAGTGAGAGTGCCCCTGTGGCACCATGTCCAGTTTGGGGCTCCCCAGCACAGGGCAGACCTGCTGTATTGGACTGAGCCCAGATGCAAGAGGCCAGGCCACCACACTGCTCAGGGGCTGCAGCCCAGGGCATGGGAGGAGAGGGTGCAAGAGCCGGACTCCTTCGCCTGGGAAGAGGGAAGGCCAAGGAGCTGTCTCTGGATGGATGTAGGAAAAAGGGAGTCAGACCATTTCCAGGGCGAGCTGGAACACAGGAAATTCCAACTCAATATAAGGAAAAAAAATCCCTCCACGAGGAAGGTTGGTACTGGAGTAGGCGCTGAAAGACGTTGAGGAACCCCCATCACTGGGAGATGGTCAAAACTTAACCAGACAAGGCCCTGAGCAGACTGGTCTAACTGGACCTATTTTGAGCGAAAGGTTGGACTAGGTGACCTCCACTCTGTGATTCCATGAATGTCAGGGCCAAAACCTTTCTGGGGTTTGGTCACAAAAAGAGGTTTAGTAGCACTGAATTTTAAGAAATTGCATTGATTTGCCAATATTTCAGGACAAAATTCCAAAGTTTCTTTAAGATAACATTGCCTGGGAACATATCTGACAAAGTTTGCCCTATACTAAGACAAATGAACTAATTTTTTTGCTTCAGCTGCCTGCAGATTGTATGTTAACCATGCACTTGCCCAACCTAAGGCTTCAGATATGCTATATCCACCTTTGGCACTTAGAGCTGTCTGCTCTGACTGCGACTAACTTTGCGTTAGAAAAGTCTCAGCATAGTCAGAATCATCAAGTACAAATGTGAGGATAAGATTACTGAGAAAGCCGATACCAAACCATAAAAATCCAATACAGTTCAGTTTCAGGTGTCTAGAATGCCAATAGATCACTTTTTTCCCCTCACTTAAATCAGTTTCCTAAGCTTGACTGCACTCCCATCAAACAGTTTCACAGAAAACCCACTTCACAACAGAAAAATATACATATCATGTCAAACGAAACAGTCTCAGGTTGAATCCCAGAGCAAAAGCTTATAAAATCCCTGGCATGTGGTTTAACAAATCCTGGCTCTCATTTGCCACAGGCTTTACAGTGAGGTTCTCACAAGGCAAGAGAGAAACAAAACTGAGCTGCAGCTCACCCAGGTGCTGTGTGTTACATCTGAATCACGTAGTTATATCATTGTCATTTCATCAAAAATATTTTAGAGTTTTTTTTTTTAAAAAAAAAGAAGCAAAAAGTAAAACATTTAGGTAAAATATTCTAGTTCAATAAATTCATTTCTCTAAGTGTTACATCTTTTCCAGCCTCTAAATTATACAAACAGATTGGAGAAGGGGGAAAATCTGACAGCATTTTATCTGCAACATTTTTCATATGATCACTGTCTGCAAAAGGATACTGACTATACAACTATTTATGGCTATTATAAATATACCATTCCAGTCCTGCCCTATAAATGTTTTTTCTGGACTTTCTGCTGCAGCAGCTCAATTAAGAAAATATACAGTAAAATCTGTGCCTTAGATTACACTAGCTTAATGGAGGAATGTTAAAACATCTTGCAGAACAGGAAAGAAGCATCAGATCTTTAGCTAGAAACTCATTATTAAATAATGAAGTTATAAGCCTGGCATAGCAGTTTTATAGTCGATTTTATGAAGCCCTAAAGGCCAAATTGTTGTTTAATTTCTTTAAAATGAGGGAAGACTTCCAAGCAGATAAAACATTGAAACATCTTTTTTTTTTTTTTTCTTTCTGTCTAACATGGAGCATTATTAAATAAGCTCTTCTGGGAACAGCAAAACAAGAGCAGACTAGATTTGAGCCATTTGTACCCTCTTTGTCTTTTGTCTCCTAAATTTCTTCGCTCTGGTACCTCAGCTCCACCCTGTATCCTCACCAGGCAAAAAGGAAACAAATGCCTGATTATTCGCCAGCCAGCTGCTGCCTTAAACAATGAATAAAAGCTGAATTCTGCTGCAGCAGAGTAGTTGTCTTGGGTGTATCCCCACTATCCAGCTGCTTATTTTCATGAAAACTTTAGGAACTAATTATCTGAAATTCCTTTGCCTTCAAATTCGGTTGAATGGGCCAACTTATTAAAAAGTTATGGGGTGGCAAGGGAGGGGGATCAGAGACTGATACATGGGAGCACATAACAGCCTGTGATCTGACCTGTGTATCTGATCTGTGTATAGCTTGTTAAGTTTAAGACATACCTCTTATCTGATAACCTGAGTAAGCCGCTCACTGGATGCTAAAACCCTGGGAGGTAGAACCTATGATTAGTAACTTATAAGAAAAGCAGAGACAGTAATAAAGAAGGTTACTTCACTTTTAGTTTGGGGTTGATTTCCAGCCCCAGGTTTACACAGAGTTTGTCTTCACACAAACTGGCCCTGGTAAAATAATTATTTTTCTTACAGAATGGTACTCTAATTAATCTAGAAATGGATAAGAACTCCTCACAACTTTAACCTGTTGTATCATAATGCTCAAAACTTATAAAAAAAAAAGCAGACATCAACACCTGTACACATATTCTCAGTATTAAAAAAATAATTGAAAGAATGAAGAAAACTCTTACAGATTTAATTACGTTAGTACTAGTACAATACTACAAATGGTAAAGAAAGGTGAGCAGGGTAAGATGGGAAAGACTAACTGTACCCTGCAAGTCTGTGATTGAGCTCTAGCTTCCCTGTACTTGATGCTCTATTTATCAAGCAGAAAAGACATTCTGAAAATTCAGAGACCAACATTAAGAGGAGCAACAAGTTCTCCTGGGCATTTCTGTTGGCTCAAAGCTACTTCGAAGGTCCTGCTGCTTCCTTCTCCCTCCGCAGTTATGCAATGGCAAATACCGAGTTTGCCTGTGCCTGGTTGTGCACAGAGGCACCCGGGCAGAGGTCTGACTTTCAAGAAATGTTCAGTTCCTTTCCAATTTTCTGAAAAGAAGCTAAGACAAACCGAGGGCTCATTTTTCTGAAATACCCTCAGGTCAGTAGTTGCCTTGAAAATAATAGTCTAAAATAAATTTGGGAAATTGATTTTCAGGAGCATTAAGATGTCAAGGGCCCTTTGGCACACACAGCAGAGCTAAACTGAAAGAGCTCTCGGGGAGGTCAGTGTCCCTGTACAACACTTAAGGACACAAACACTGATAAAGTTTTACTGGGGAGCACAATGCATCAGCCTTATTTGTTAATTAAACAGAGCACTGTAACACACTATAAAGTTTTACAGAACACTATAGAGTGACAACTTTGACCCAGTCAGATTTCATTTTAATGGACTTGAGATTTGCTGACCAGCTTAGCCAGCAGTAATTAGCACACTTACCGAGTTACATGACTCTACTTAATCACATTCCAGCATACTTAATCATCTAATAACTGTCTGAAAAGAAAACACCCCATGTGGAATAGGATTTTACATGAGCAGTACTTGAAAATTGTTTTAAAAAGAGAATCATGTAATATGAAAAAAGTGCTATATATTAGGGGAAAATTAGCATAACAAGAATACTTAATATAACAAAAGTACTGGCTCTGGGAATTCTCAGGCTACTGGGCATCCTGCAGGGAATTAAATGTTGGATGTACAAAGGATGTACACATGGTAACATTTGCTTTCAGCAAATTAAAAACGAAAAGCAGTGAAACAAATATAATTAATTTTCATAATAAAGGATAGAAAGGTCATTCCTAGAGATTGAAACTCTCTGCAATAGTTCTGGCTACAGTTTGAATCATCAGTTTTAACCTCCTGCTAAAGCCATGCATGTAATTTAATAACACATTTTTCATTACTCTCTGAATTCATTGAGGTCAATGGCACGGGTAGAGAACACTAATGCTTTCTTTTTTAATAGATTTTTATACCAGAATGGGCCCACATGTTCCTTCAGTTGAAGGCTGACTGAATGTTGGTGTTGAATTACCAATTCAGTCTAAACCTTAATTTCGTCAAGGGCAAACACTGCTGTTAAAATTGCATATGACTCTCAATTTCTTTTGTAATATTTGCTAGCAAGTGAGGCTTTGGCCCACAGGGGAAATATTGAGGCATGGCCTCTGGACAGGTTTAGTGACTGAAAGAGAACACTGAGCTGGGAGAACGAGACACGGTGATGTCAGTGACAGACATTGGACACTTCTGGTTCACCTGGATTGTAAAACTGGGATGAGAGATGAAAACAAGACTTGTTTTTTATCTTTGGAAAGCAGAGATTGACTGATACCAGATTGGAGTCATACAAGGTGTTCAGAACAAACCCAGAAATACTTCATTTTGTGAGAGAAGGCACCATATTGTTTCTGTGTTGCATGTTTCTTACATTTTAATACCTGTGGAGCCAGGAAAGCACTTACTGCTTAAAAATAAATAAATAAAAAAATGCAATCAGGGTTATGTAAATAAAGCTTCCAATTACAAGCACACACAGAAAATATTAAAAATTCAGGCTTTGAAGATGAGAAACTATTCAACATGTATTAGAATGACAGTATATAATGTTCAGAAGGGCAAAATTTACTGAAAGAAAATGAACAAATTCACACTGTTTTTTGGCCATTCACTTAATTTTTTTTTTCCTAGCAGCATCCCCTCTGAATTGTCTCCATCACCTCAGTATTATCACAGCTTTGAGATGTTATATCCAATGGATCAAACAGTACAACCATAAGAAAGCCATGCCGTGAAGAATGAATTCTTACCTTATTCATGTCAAACGTGTGAAATACTTGTTCAACATAACCATTAGCTTCTGGAGTAAGTCCATGCAGATCCAGGACATGTTTAAATTCATGCAGACAAAGCTGTCCAGATGGGCACTCCTTCATAAATTTTGTGTACCAGTGATGAATTTCCATGGCATTAATATCATCTGCTGATCCAGCCGCACCCATAGTGTCAAACATTCCCAAATCCCGTTTTCAGTATGTATTCATCCAAAAGTTTATTCTCCTTTGCTGTAATTGCTTCCCAGCAACCATTCGGACACCAACTCTGCTTTCAAGAGCTACATTAAACCTCCTACAGATCACTACAGACATTGACTCAGTAAATATAGCACCCTGGCAAGATTACCAGTGCCCAGTTTTAGAGCAGCAAGGTTTTATAAGTGGATCACGGTGTTTACACACAGTTGGTTCCCAGAGCCTCGGTGCGAGGAAAAATTACACTGCTGCAGATGGTGGCCCGGTTTGCCCTGGTGTCTATGGTGCTCAAGTTATGTAAATTGTCTGCCTACTAAATAAGCAACACAGACAGCCTCTGAGGACACCTGCTAATCCTAATTCACACAGATCTAACTAAACCTCCAGCCCAAGTGTCCTTTCACCATTGCAGGTGAAACTGTTATATTTCTAAATACTGTGCACAAAGTATGCACACTCTTCACAGTAACTTGAGCTTCTTAAGAGCGGACTGAGTGGCAATGGCTTCCCCTTCCCACCCGATCTTTCCTGGGACAAGAGCCATAGAGAAAAAGATAGACTGCTGAATATGTTAAAGGACAAGAAAAGCTAAGCAAAGTCCCATTCTGAAACCTGAAGATGCAGCTGTAAGAGCTGCGAAAGCTTTAAACAGCACAAAGCATACATGTAAGTGGTATTCAAGTACCACCCTCAAAGGAAGCCCCTCAGAACATGCACTCTCCCCTCATTTTAATGTTTGCTTTTGGACAGCTGCCTTGCAGCACAAATGTGTCTTCTAACTTTTCATTTTTATTACTTCTTTATATACCATGGTCCAGATCTTTGCTTGGAGACATTATAGGCCAAACCTGAAATATGATTTGTCTTGGAGAACAGGAGAGAACTCAAAGCAGATATCCACTAAGGCCCCAGAATACTCTGTTGTCCTTAGACAGCAGTCACACAAGCACGTGAGTCCGGCATAGGCCGATATTGTCCTCAAAGCTGCCCCCACCACTGGCACTGTTTATTCAATCCCATGCCTTTCCTGCCCTTAG